ACGTCTTGCCAATGTGAGTGTGTAATGGCACTCAATAAACCCCCATGTCTAGTCGACATGAGCATGGAAAGGCACCACTTGGCACCCAATAAACCCCATGTCTTGCTGATGCAAGCATAGAATGGCATTTATTAAACCACATGACTCGTCGATACGAAACATGGGACGACACCACTTGGCATTTATTAAACCCCATGACTTATCGATATGAAGCATGGGATGGCACCACTTGGCATTGAAACCTCCATGACTCATCGATACAAGCATGGAATCCTAAGGTCATCAAAAAAAATTTTATGAAATACCAATTTTACTCTTGTTTATTTTTTTAAAAAAAATTCAAAAGAGAAATTGTGTTATGTTCCCACCGTTCTCTATAACCAATATATATATATATATATATATATCTCTTACAGTGTCCCACTCCAATGTTCGGCCACCTCACCTCTCTATCTCCACTGGCCAACTCACCCCTCTCTCTAGGGGTGCACAAATGACCCAGTAAATCGAAGAATTGAATCTACCCGACTACTTTGAGTGGTGTTAGTTCAAATTTTTAGTACATTGGGTTAGTTTTGGATTTTCAAATCATCAACCCAATAGAATTGAGAAAATTCTATTTCCACCCACTAAGTTTCCTTACTCCACACACTTAATGAATTTTTTTAAAATTACAATTTTATCCTTTAATAAAATTACCATCTCACCCACCACCATCTCACCCACACATTTCACAATTTCTCCATACACATCTCACCCACCACCATCTCACCAGCCACTTCACCTCCAGCCACCGCCAGCCATCACCTCCCATGCCCAAACCTCAACCATACAAAGTGGGAAACAACACCAAATTGATCGATCTTGGAAAAAAAACAAAAAAAAAATTAGACTGTAAATGTTACCATGCAACACCAAAATGATCGATCTTGTAGAACTGTTCTGACATTACATATTTTCTTCTACTATGGGGTACATATGATGGTTGTTCTCCTAAACCAAATGCGTCATTTAATTCTTGTGTTCACCAATTGTAAGATGATAGCATGTAGGAATTGGAATCAGGCTGTTGGTTTTGTGTAAAATTGTAAAGAGTGTCTGATTTCATTGTTCTGTTCTGTTGTGTTGTGTTGTGTTGTGTTTATGTTTGCTCCAGAAGATCAGAGTATACATAATGTAGGTACAGTTAGGCATAAATTTTTTTTGAGTATAATCTTTTTCCTTATAATCTGTATTTATACATAATATTTGTTCTTGTATATATTTAAGTACTCAATTGTGCATAACATGTTTGATTGGAGTGCTTGAGGAAACTTAAGGAAATAACTTAGGTAACTGGTAATTTAGCTATGTTTCTTTGTTGCGCAGGCATGCTATTGTGTTGCATGCTTCTGTCTACTGTCTATGTCTCATTTTGTAATTGAGATTTCTGAGATTCGAAGTGGGTTTGGTCCGCCATTGAAGCCAACCTAGCGGCTTTGAATATTTTGAAGAGAGAATGGGGAGAGAGAAGGCCAAGTAAAGAAGAAAAAGGCAAAGGGGCATTAAAAGATGGAAGGAGAGGATGTGCACAGAGAAGGTGAGGGGATATTTCGAATGTGAAGTGTGTGGACTGAGATAAAGAAGTAAAAATCAAATTACTAAATGTATGGATTGAGAAAAGATATACACAGGGATAATTTGATGTGTGGAAATATAATTTCTCATAGAATTGGCTTGGTTCCTAAAGACCAAAAATATATGTATTATATAAAATTTTATTTATATTGACATGTTTTCAATTAATTAGTCTATTATAACATAATTGACTACACTCTACTATTTCCAGTTGTTGGATTGTATTAAACAATTTTTATTTTTTATTTGTGCTACGTTTAAATGTTTAAATTTTGTTTATTTTGATTAATTCACTTATTTTTAGTATAGTGAAACTTTAGTTCCAATCCGAACCAAAACATTGACCAACCCAAGTTGCATTGGGTCGGGTTAGTTTGGTTCTAATACATGATTTGTTCAGTTCTAAGTGCAAAGTTATTATTATTATTTTTTTTTTTTTTTTTTTTTTTTTTTTTTTTTTTTTTTTTTGTGTGTGTGGATAATGAATACAAAAACTTAGAACCAATTATGATTGGATTAGTTCTAAATTTAGTGTCAGCCCAAACCAAATCAACCCAAGTGCACCCCTACCTCATTTTCTCCTTTCCATCTACCTTTACCTACCATTACCCTTGCCCTTACCCTTACCTCTACCTCACCCCACTCCTACCACCTTATTCTTTTCAGTGTGACAATCGCAAACCAAGATCCTATGACAACGAGTTCCTTTAACCATTACACCACAAATCTTCCTTTCCTCCTCTTGGATCTATAATCTCCGCGCCCCCATGCAATCGTTGTCTCCCTTCCACCTTGACGCCACAATAGTTATGACTACAAAGTCCACTGTCATCACCCTCCAACTTCGTGACCCATGGTCACCACCTTAACAACCCTAGATTTGCCATAGCTTTTACGGCTACATTGCATTACGATGGCAGTTGTCACTGGTGACGATGCACTAGGATGGGTTGTGTTTGGATGTGAGGCTGTTAGGGGTCAGGACGACGCTGGAGGAGATTCTTGTGGTTGTGGCAGCGCTCAAGGGGTTATAAGGGTCTTGAAAGTATTGGAGTGTTCTAGGTTCTTCTTGGATTAGAGAGAGAAAGCAACTCAAAACTTCGCGTTGTTGATCTAGATGATCAATTAAGTCTTGGATTTAAGGCTTAGAATTGATGAGAAATTTAGAAAGATGATTGAACTCTACTGATGAAACTAGGAAGCTAGGATTTTTTTTCTCAAGAGAAATAGAGATGATTGATGTCTCTAAACCAATTGACCCATTTCTCACTAATTGACCCATTTTTACGCTAGGTTATTTATGTCATTTTACCTTTTCTATTAAAGGAGTATAGTTTTGAAGCCCAATAAGGGAGGTTGGTGCCATTTTTCTATACCAATGGGCTTGAGTATAATTTAGGCAAAGTTAAAGGGATGTCCATGTATTTTGCCATTTTTTTTACACAACAAGACGAGAGTTTCTATTTGCACACCACTAATTGTCTCAACTCACACTATTATTCCAATTTTTTGAATTACTATTATATTCAATCAAATTATCTATACACCTCTCTCTCTCTCTCTCTCTCTTCATATTTCCTTCTTAACTCACCATTGCCAATTGCCACCCCTCACCTCCGATAACTCCATTTCCCACCCACCCCCGCCACCCCTACCTCTAAAAACTTACTTCCGCTTCCTCCGTTGTTGCCCCCACATTCGGCACCACCTCCACTCTGCAACAACTCTCCAACAACCCTTCCATTACACCAACGCAACCCCCTAGCCCTTCCCTCGCACCAACCCTCGCAACACCTCCCTCAACTCGCCATTGTTCCCATTCCCCCAAAACCACCACAGCCCCCATCCCTCTACCAATTCTTCTTCCCTTTTCTCTCTCTCAATCGATCTCAGTCGATCATGAGGGTTGGGGTGACACTCACGATGGTTGAGAATGATGGTTGCTAGGGTTGTAATGATGGCAGGAAGAGGTTGAGGGGGTGTCGAAGTGTAGAGGGGTTAAAGTAGGAAAGTGTTGAAGGACTCCAAGTAAGAAAGGGACGACAACAACCGAGATGGGCTGTCCAGGGGCGAACAAGGGCAAAGATGGAAATGGGTTGCTAAAGCTGGCAATGAGGGGAAGTATATCACCGAAGCTAATGGTGGCTGGGTTAAAAGGGTGGGGCTAGGATATTTTTGGCATAAGGTGGCGTTTTGAGAAAATAAAAAAAAATAAAAAAATGATGTGGATATGTGACCTGAGCAATGGTGTTTACTAAGGTAAACTATGACGTGCAAATAAAAGCTTCCCAATAAAACTCAACCTTAAATTTTTCTTTCAGCCATTGTTGAATTAGCCATTACAAATAAGGAGACGCTGTGAACTCAGCTCTTATTACTTGGTGGGAGGGGCCCGGAGAAATCCTACTCGGAGGTGGTTGAAGATTCTCACTAGGAATGGCAACAGGGCGGGACGGGGCAAGGCTGGGGATCCCACCTGTGATACCCCTGTTCTGTATTATGATAAATCGGCCCTTAATTTGTTTATGGTTATGTGTTTAGAATGATTTTGTGTGCCATTTATGTGAAATCCCCGCCCCCAACGGGGATTGGGTCTCCCCAACCCCGAAAGTTCCCCGATCCAAATTTGTTTCAACATTCAACACCATCAACAACTTTCAACATCATCAGTAACATCCTCAAAAAATCATACACAAATACATACATACATACATACATACATACTCACATGTATACATTCACACATAGCACACACATACATTATACATACACACACATACATGTATACACAGAGAGAAAGGACGACGGAGGAGATCGGCGGAGATTGGCTGCTCGACGGCGACGACGGAGGAGATAGATCTAAGATCTCTGTGTGACTACGACGATGGAGCGAACGGCAGAGTCGACGAAGGTGAAGGTTGCGCTGAGAAGGAGACAAACGGCGAGGCAGATAGCGACTGCAGCGTCGCTAGTGACGGTTGCGCTGAGGAGGCGGAAAGGAGAGGTGCGAGAGTGAGAGAGAGGAGAGGAGAGGTGCAAGAGTGAAAGAGGGTAGAGGGAAGAGAGAAAGTAAGAGAGAGAGACAGAACAGAATAGTTCCATTATGTAGAGGGTTATATATTAAGGGGTATATATATAGTAAGTTTGATTCGGGGGGCTAACGGGGGCGAGGTCAGGGCTGGGGACGGGGGTGAAAAACATATCACCGTCCCCGGCCAGAAAATCATCGGGGATTTATTTTTGAGTACCATCCCCTGCCCGTAGGGGATATTTTTTGAAAAAAAACCGTTCTAATCGGGGTCAGGGGGTAAGGTTCCCGTCGGGCCGGTTTCAAATTGTCATCCCTAATCCTCACCAAGCATAAAAAAAACAATTCCTGCACATTGTAAATTTATAGGTTGAAAATAAATAAATAAAAAACATATGCTAAAGGGTTATATTTTACAGTATACTGACGTTGTACACTTGTTACAAGAACTCCCAATACAAGTTTCAGAATATACACATGAATAAAAGAACAAGAACCCAACATTACAAAGAAAGCTTCCAAGCAAATCGTATACAATTATCGGTTTGTTTATTAGAATACAATACAATGATTTCTCATCATCGGCACAACTGTTTTCATCTCTACTTTCTTGCTGCTGAGTCACCAGATCTCAACTCTCTTTCAAGCTCGTCAAATTCCCAGTCACCAACCTCTTCAGCTGAGTAGTCTTGACTAACCTTCCCAAATTCAGATTCCAGTTTTGCCAATTCTGCCTCAGTATCGAGCCCCTGCTCAGCCTCGACTTTAGGTGACTTGGGGCGCTTATCCTTCGCTGCTTTTGGTGATTCTGTTGCCTGCATCGGAGGGTGTCTCGGACTGTCCGGTTGTTTCTCCCGAGGAGTGTCCGCCTCTGAGGGATTCTCCATTTCTAGAACTGGTCTCTCAATAGATTCAAATTCCTCCCTTAATTTTTCAATACTATCAAACAGATCTTTGACCCTTGCATCATCTTCCCTGGAGGATGGGGGAGAAAACAGTTTATTTTCAGGAGTATGATGTTATATTATAATAAGGTTACCATAAAAGAACTAAGCAATATCGTAAGTATAAAGCACCTTGAAACTTTCCCTTGCTGAGTATAGAACTGCTCTTTCATATTATCTACTACACTGAAAGTGGTTATAATCTGTAAAAGAAAAACAATACAACACAAAACACACACACTGCCACCAGTCAGTGCTCGGTAATGCCTTCTCTTTCTTTATTCTAATTAGACCAAAGTGTTCCATCACAAGAATGTTCATTACAGAGCATGCAGATACAAATTAATATTCGATAATGAAACATAACGATGTAATTAGTTTGAAAACTTGCACAAGAGAGAACATTGTAGAAAATGCTCCTGGCTAACCTTAAAATGTGAAAACATTACAGAAAATGCTCCTGAATATAAATGCACTCACGTATATAAAGCATATGCTACTAATTAGAAAGCAGCACAACTTGCAATGAGGATTACTGTGTTCAACTTATTCTTGGAACTGGAGAAATAAACATGCAAAATGATATTGTGCTGTATGTAAAAATATGTACTTCCAAAGACATGAGACTATTTTAAACAAGAAAATAAAATAAATAATAAATTGATTATAAAATTGTGCATCATAAACTGATAACTGCTAGCTAGGAGGGATAACAAATAAAGAAAACTAAAAGGAAAGAAATAACTTTATCTAAACAAACTTTTCTATGTATTCAATAAAACTGAAGAACAATGACACTTGTATTCGAGCAATAATGAACTCAACGTGTGAAGACGGTCACATTTGTACCTTTGCTTCACAGTTCACATATTGCTCCTCAAGAGTTTCTCCAGGGTTTAGTTCTTTGGAATCTTCTTTACCAACACCAGATGCCATTCCTGACCTGTCCAATGACACGAGGAACTTCAGAAATGCAGTCAAAATAGATCAGAATTATCTCTGTTGTGACAAACGACATTACCCTTCCCTCAAATTCTTCAAGTGATCCACAAATTTCCTGATGCGCTCAATGGAAGGCTTCAGCTCTTTCTGTGAAATAAATACAAGGTCACATCAAAGAATTCAAGGAGGAAAATTTTAATTCATAGCATTAAAAGGCTTATAAAAAAAAAGGCATTAGCTATATTAAAGGAGTACAATATTTTAAAGAAGTAACTTAACAAATACCTCGTAAGCAGAGAGGAAACTAACGACCAAGTTGACATAATAGGTCTCATGTCTCCACAATTCATCACTTGAAAATGAGAAACAGGAAATAAGTAACAACGAAAGCCTCCAGGTATTTCAGTTATGAATTATAATACATATCCACATGAAATGATGGTACAATAGAAATAACAGCGACAAATTTTGTTAAAAGTTAATCCTCCAGGCCTGAAGAATGTTAAGAACCATCCAACGAGTGGTAAGACAAGATATAACAGGATGAGAAACTATTAAGTTAATATACATACTTGACCTGCTTCTCCTTAGTCTCCACATATGAGGATTGGAGAACCCAAGTATCTTCCAAAAAGTTTATCCAAGTTTTCAGAACATCTGCTTCTACCCTACTTGAGGAAATGGATCTCGAAAGCTCATCCTCCTATATATTTAACGAAGAAAGAAATATTAGAAATGACAATGACATGCAAAAAGAAGAAAATTCTAAACATTTTTACTGAAACAAGCTTGGAAAGAAACAGAAGATAAACACACTACTACACAATTGGATACCTTTGTTTTCAAATGCGCAACAATCTGGTCATTAGCTTCATAAAACTGATCCCTCTCTTCCCGGGCATTACGAAGGCGTGCTTGGGCAGCGGCCAAGGAGATATTAACCTAAACCAGTAACCCAGTTATAAGCACACAACTGGAATGCAAAATACAAAACAAAGGATAAAAAAAAACTAAAATCAAAAGGACTTTAAAGAAATAAGGTCAACTGCACCTTTCATTAGTGTAATTTAAACTGATAGGGAACTAAGTCAATAAGGCGGGAAATTGGACTAGGCACGAAGCAAAGGAAAGTGGTCCAATCAGATTTTAATTGGGGAGCTGCAGCCCAGAGTCCAGTTGTTCCAAATAGAGGGGCATCGGTTTTTCTCAGGTAGATTGAGCCTTCTTTTAATGACAAGCCCAAGGGTCAAGGAAGTTTGAGGTTCTCCATCTCTAGCAGAGGGAGAAAATGGTGTGTCATTGAGAAGGGCTGTTCTCTGTTGTACTGGAGCAAACCCAAGAGCCCAGGAATTAAGAGATTGTATGAGCATCGAAGGGAGAACTTGATGTTAGACAGGATGAATGTGAGGAAAATGCAGGTTCAGTTGGGAATGATGTTGTAAGGGGGCAGGATCTTTCAGATTTGGTGGTGATGGCCAGTGGGAAAACCCATTGTTGTGCTTATGGTGATGGAGGAAGAAGCTTGAAGGAGGAAAACGAAGGAAGGTTCGAAAAAATGAGTTGGTTTCCTTTAAAATAATTTGAGAGATGCATTTTGAATAGGGAAAATTACCCATCAGTGGTAATTTGAAAAAATTATTACATATTTATGGATAAGTTTATGATTTTAATTATTAATATTTATACACTTTACCACTTATTTGTAATTATTTTTTTAGCTTTACTGATATGGAAATTTCCACTTTTGAATATGAGTAAAAAATGAAGCAAAACAGAAATCTACTTTGGATGAAAATTTGGCAAGGAAGCATAGGAAGAAGTGAGAGTGACATAAAGAACCGGGTTATAAAGAAGAGGCATGTAGAGAAGTGATTGTTGTTGTGCTTTGTTTTTCTTCTTGGATGAGAGACGAGTTTTTATCAATTCTATTTTGCACAAGGATTGTTGCCCCGTTGACACTTTCTCTTATATAATTTAATTTTACCTATAACGAAATAACTAAATAAATAAACACAACCACAGATTTCATGAGAACAATATATGTCAAGAGAAGTCTATCCTTGTAACTCTCATTTCCAAATGATTGAGAGAGAGAAAAAGAGAGATGATGGGGATACCTTTTTCAATTCAGCTTCAAGTTCATCTCTTTGTTTCTCGAGTCCTGAAACCTCAGTTGCTAATTCCTGGAAATTGACACAGAAACAACTTTCAATTCACCTCATAAATAAATGGATCACCAAATACATAAATCTTGCATGCTTGAAGCAAGCATGGCTTCACCTCATTTATGGTGCTAAAAGAGTTTTTTTTTTTTTTTTTTTTTTTTATAACTTTATTAGCACTAGGGTGTCCAGATCAAAACCAAACTAATCCCCAAGGGTGCACAGGGGGGCAAGGAGTTTTCCACAAGTGCACCACAATGCTACAAGAGATTTTCCTAATATGTTACTCAAAATCAGTTAAAAGCTATCAAACAAGCAAAGCCGTTTTAAATATGACCAAAGAGTCACATTTATGAATAAACACATGCACGCGAAGGAAATGTTCTGATTGCTTGGACAGTGAGCCAATGTGGTCCAATTGAGAAAAGAATTCCAAACAAAACAGAAAAAGTAATTTAGTTTGATAATGCAGAGTTATAAGTACATAATTAACAATACACAAGAAATGCAAGTTTTCTTACCAAGCCAATTGCATTATTTTTATCATTTATCATTAATGAAAATTAACGATACCCAGACTTGGTGTTTCAATCTATACTGTGGCATGCAGAAACAGATATAACATAATAAATTCTGAAAAAGGTAGAAAATGGACACGGAGCAAATGAGAATGTGTGTGGATTAATGTATAATCATGACAACTCGACTCATCCTACTTTGCCAGGGGGACGGGGCTGTTATGTAATGTTTTAGGTTGTACACTTGAAAGTGTAAAACCTTAATGCCAGAGACATGTCAAACAACACATCCAGGCATGTGCTTAGAGCTTGGTTTTTTGTCTTCTTTTCTTTTTTTTTTTTTCTTTTTTTCAAATCATGGTTGTGTCTAAGACAATGATACACATTTCAGGCTCTGCAAAGTGTTGAGCATCCAACAGAATCTCATGAGCAGATCTTCTTTGTGGAAGTACCCATACGACTTAGAATCCATGATTGAAAGAAAATCCTACAGTTATTTTGTCTTCTGCAATTTTGTGGTGCCCAACAGGCAAAGAGATTATACATGGAACAGTACCTTCTCTATTTCACTGACTTCACTTTCTTTGGCCACACGAAATTTTACCGCTTCCTCTTTCTGAGATCTGCAGAAATGTGGAAAAAACAAGAAAATTCTATTTGAGAAGACATGAATTCGAGTGAGCACATATTCAGTGCAAACTAAATGCCTAACTAGGTAAGGAAATAAAACTGTCAATTCTTCAATGTATATGCCCATGTCCCAAATGGGACTTGAATCCTACAGCTCCCTCTTTGGGGTGATAGAAATACCACTCAAGCTAACAGTATGCTGTTTGTTTTATCTTTTTCCATTGGTTTCTGTTGTTCAACCTTTCTTCTCATCCTTTTCAGTGTAGGTATTCTTTCTTTTGTATTCAATAATGCCAATTCTAGTTTCTTATGATCTCAACTAAAAATGTGAAACCAAGCATCATCCATTTGCTCGTTACTTAAGATTAAGCATGTAATTTTACCATTGGATGACACAAAGCCAGTTCCCGTTTAAAACTGGAGACAACAACCATCACTGTATCTCTCATATCTAATTATTGAAAGAAAGCACAGCAGGGTCCAAAAGGTAAGAAACATGAGTCTTGCCCACTTATCCCTATGTGATATCCCTGTTCCGTAATATGTTAATTGGTCCTTCAAATGAGTATGATTGTGTGTTTAATATGATTTTGTGTGCAAATATGTGAAAATATGTGGTTTTGAATTTCTATACGTTTACCGTAGGAATATCTGTTTGATTATCTGCTTTCGAAATTAAATTGAAGGCCTTATCGGCCACCGAAACCAAAATTGATTGCGCCATTGTGGTTGGTATAATTTTTAGAGCCTACGGTGAAATTTAATTGAAAATTGATTCGGATCAGATTAAACTGATTTAATTAAGGAATTTTTGCCCAATTACTTTAATATTATTATAATGGAATTAGTGGAAATTGTTGTATAAAGGCACTACACCCTCATTTCTCCTCCTTTGTTGCATTTTGGCTGATCATAAACTCAAAGAAAGAAGAGAGGGTCGGCTTAGAGAGAGAGAGAGTGTAGGAGATTAAGGTTTTGGCCTTGAGGCTTGGAGATTTTGGAAGATTACTCAAGAATTTGCTATAAATTGGAAGAATTGAGCCTCCAGGTAAGTGAATCCATGAGTTTAATGTGTAATTTTGTGTATTCAAAGTGGATTAATGATCAAGAGCAAGGATTGAAAAGGAATTGAGTTGTTTATGTTGAATTGAAGGTCAAAGTATGCATGCATGTATATCATTGCTATGAAATTGCATAATCTAGCATGTAATGTGTGAATTGTGAAGAATTGAGCATTGAAGTGTACATGCAAGCATGGTTTTATTGATTTTCATGTTTATGAGCATCATTGGTGCTATTTGAAATGGAAATGAGGTCAAAAATTGACATGCATGTTTGATTATGGAAGATATGAAGCTTGTGTAAAGTTTGAATCTATGAGCCTTGAGTTTACAAAGAAATGTAGATTAATTTGGATGAATTGGACCATGATTTTGAGCAATTGATCTCGCCTTGCTTATATGCCCATATTATATAATGTGTTTGCATGTTTTGGAACCAAATTTATGAGTTTTGAACCTTGGAAGGTCGGATTTGAGCTCAAGAACACATTATGGAAAACCCAGAATTCATGGTGTCCGCTTGAGCGGGGAATCCTCCGCTCGAGTATAAAATACGAGCACCCAGCATATTTTTGCAGACATGGCATCCGCTCAAGCGGGGAGCCATGTAGAGAGACCTTCCGCTCGAGCGTCCAAGTTTCACGCTCGAGCGTAAAAATGACATAACCAGTACTTTTGCAGGCCTCGAGGGTCCTCTCGAGTGGGGACCCTGTTTTCTAAAATTTTGTTTATGCTTTCTGTGTTTCGTTTTCCGTTCTCCTTCACTTCTAAGTACTCTTAGGCATGCATTAAGCATTGTAATTGAGTTAATGAGACAAGAATGAAGCCTAAAGAGGAAAATGTGAATTTAGAACGGATCGAATTGTTTGTGACCCTTTTTGTGTTCATGGAATGTGTAGGGTCAAGCTCCAGGGCAAATCCACAAACCGATCACTATGAGTAATATCCTAATAAGATAATTGAAATATACTGTTGTCCAATTGTTTACTTCTATATAAGTTTTGTAAGTTAATTAATTTGAATGGTGGACAACGATTGATACGAATGATTGGGCCGAAGGCCGATTGACGTGAATGATTGGGCCGAAGGCCGATTGACATGAACGATTGGGTCGAAGGCCGATTGACATGAATGATTGGGCCGAAGGCCGATTGATATGAATGATTGGGCCGAAGGCCGATTGACATGAATGATTGGGCCGAAGGCTGACTGGCATAAATGATTGGGCCAAAGGCCGTCGTCTGCTGTAACTGTTTCAAAGATTGGTTATGTATCTACCTTATTTGATATTATTCACTGGGCTTTAGCTCAAGCTCATTCATGTACATGTAGGTGAGCCAAAGGACGTCCAGAACCAGCCTCGGTGAAATTGTGAAAAACAGTCAGAGTTTTGAGGAGTCAACCCAAACGTCTCACGCACGAGACTGTCTTCGCTTTTGTCCTTTGTTCATAGTTTTTGTTATGTTGGCGAAAGCATTGGACTACTTTTGTATATAAGTCTTGGGTTCGACTGACGTAAACTTGTATGATCCTGTATGCACAATGTTCAGTGTTGGTATATATTTTGATGTGAGTTATTAACACATAATGTTTAGAATGTGATGGTGTGCATATAAGCACAACTCTATGAACAAAGTTTTAAATTTGCTTCCGTTTGGCCCCTTTACTCTGATGAGTTTTGTTTTAGTAGTTTGAGGCCGTAGGTAATCTCGTGATTACTGGCCGGTTATGGCCTTAACCCATAGGGGTGGGTTCGGGTCATGACAGAGTGGTATCAGAGCACGAGTTAATAACTCACACACTCGTCCAAAAGAGTAATAAGCGTCTAGAAAAGATCTAGGATGCATTCATGTGCTAAGTATGAATCTGAAAGCATCAAGAATACGCTTAACTGTTAAATGTGAACAACTATGTGTTATAAGTTTGTAAACTGCTTGCGTTTCAAATTATTTGATTATGTATGCTCTTTAGTATATGCATACCTGCGTATCTTTCGTATAAAGTATAATGCAAGTTTAATCAGATAGTGAGAACAAGAGGTGATGAGATAGAGGAATCTTCTACTGCCAGACTGGATAGAATGGAAAGACTGATTCAGGAAATAGCAGAGGCATTAAGGCAACAACAGGAATGGCAACAACAATAGCAGCAGCCACATCCTCCACCTCCACCTCCGGCACCTCCTGTGCCAGACAATCAGAATGATGACCGAATCATATCTCTCACCAAAGAGTTCAAGAAAATGAAACTACCACAGTTCCATGGTGGATTAGATCCTTTGAAAGCTGAAGCTTGGGTCCTCGGCATTGAAAAACTGTTTGAAGTGTTTCCGTGTTCGGATACACAGAAAATGCTTCTAGCCACCTTTATACTAGAAGACGAAGCAAGAAGATGGTGGATGTCAATGCGCGAGAATTACAAAGATGCTGATTGGGCAAAATTTCCAGAAATTTTCTATGACAAGTACTTCCCGCATTGTGTGCGGGATAAGAAAGTAGCAGAGTTCATGGAACTTAAGCAAGACAGTATGACTGTAGTTGAATATGAGGCCAAATTTACTGAATTGGCCAGGTTTGCACCACACGTGATTGATACGGACTATAAGAAGGCGAGGCATTTTGAAGGTGGGCTTCGAAGCGATATTTTAGAAAGAGTGAATGTTTTGAAGCTAGAAACCTTCATTGGGGTGCTAGACAGGGCCATCATATCAGAGGCTAACATAGCTAGACAGGCTAAGCCAACGACAGAATGGAAAGGCAACAAAAGACGGGGCTTCTTTTCAAAGAAGCAAAATACGGGCTCCTCGAATACTTCTAATTCTTCCCGAGATACAACCCCGTTGTGTACTATTTGTAGTAACAGGCATCGTGGGGTTTGTTACCGTGTGTCAGGAGCTTGTTTTAATTGTGGTAAACAGGGGCATATGGCCAAAGATTGCAAACAGAACAGTGAAAAATTTGCTGCTAGTTCGACAGCAGTCCCAAAACCAGGAAATGCTACGAGATCTACTCATGGAACTTAAGCAAGACAGTATGACTGTAGCTGAATATGAGGCCAAATTTACTGAATTGGCCAGGTTTGCACCACACGTGATTGATACGGACTATAAGAAGCGAGGCATTTTGAAGGTGGGCTTCGAAGCGATATTTTAGAAAGAGTGAATGTTTTGAAGCTAGAAACCTACATTGGGGTGCTAGACAGGGCCATCATATCAGAGGCTAACATAGCTAGACAGGCTAAGCCAACGACAGAATGGAAAAGCAACAAAAGGCAGGGCTTCTTTTCAAAGAAGAAGTTTTCAAAGAAGCAAAATACGGGCTCCTCGAATACTTCTAATTCTTCCCGAGATACAACCCCGTTGTGTACTATTTGTAGTAACAGGCATCGTGGGGTTTGTTACCGTGTGTCAGGAGCTTGTTTTAATTGTGGTAAACAGGGGCATATGGCCAAAGATTGCAAACAGAACAGTGAAAAATTTGCTGCTAGTTCGACAGCAGTCCCAAAACCAGGAAATGCTACGAGATCTACTACCGCCGCAGATACCGTGAGACAAGGGAGAGTTTTTGCGCTTGTTCCGGGAGATACCCGGAATGCCAACGCAGTTGTCTCAGGTACCATTTCTATATGTAATCAGGATGCTTTTGTGTTAATTGACTCTGGATCAACACACTCATTTGTAACATGTGCATTTGCATCTAGACTGAATAGACCCTTAGAATTACTGCCATATCTGCTATGTGTGTCTGCTCCATCTGGAGAATCTGTATTGTGTGAATCTATATACCAATTTTGTGATATGCGTACTGAGGATGCTATCCTATATGTAGATTTGCTGCCCTTGAACTTTAGGCATTTCGATGTAATTTTGGACATAGATTGGTTGACTAAGTATTGTGCCACCATTGATTGTGTGACAAAACGAGTTGTATTTA